CAGAAAGCAGAAACCTTTTTTTTTTTTGTTTCAGCTCGTTGTCTGTTGTTATTTTTTTGTGTATTTCTTATTTATTGTTTGATGGCAATTTTCTAGTAGTTGAATCACTAAGTTTATAATGTTCACTTTTTGTTTCGTCTCCGCAGTGTATTTGATTTTTATATTTAAGGAGTTCATACCTGTTAATATGTGATCTGTATACACTGCCCATTAAAAAAAGAAAAAACCCATCTCCTAGTATTTGCACGAAAACATAGCCCAAGTTGAAAATACGTATTTTCTCAGCTGTTTAAGTCATAGATCTCTTTTTCTCTCTCTTTCTCTCTTTTTAAAAAAAATTACGCTGAACAAGATAGCTTTTTAAATGTTTTTCTAGCTTCAGTCATTCATCAGTAAATTCAAAAATTCGGGAACATGTTAATTTTTGCACTTTTTACAAAACTTCAAATTGAGCTGTGGGCCCAGGAGATCGTCCTAGGAGCGGCGCCCTACAGCAATCGATAGGAAGTTTTAATAAGCTTTCACCTTCCACTTTGCCAGATTTCTCAACTATTTTCGATTGTTCGGGACTTTCGGGAAAAAAAGTAGACAAACCGATCACTCTCTCCATTCTCATCATTTTCAAGAATGCATAAGTTTTGAACAGTTTTTCACAAATTTTATTTTATATATACCAACTCCACGGTTCATATCTTCACTATTGACAGGTTGAAAAATTCCAAGTTCTCCATGCTTGAAAACCTTTATTCAATTTAGTAAATTAAATGGACGTTTTGGGCTCCTGGCCCATCATCAGTAACTAAACATAGAAAAATCTCATGGTCTAATTCCCAATCTGAAGGCACACCAATCAGTAATTATTGCCTTCAGATTGGGAATTATACCATGGGATTTCTCTATGTTTAGTTTCTGATGATGGGCCAGGAGTCCGAAACGTCCATGTAATTTACTAAATTGAATAAAGGTTTTCAACCACGGAGAACTTAGAATTTTTCAACCTATCAATAGAGCAAATTTTATGCTCTATAACTTTTGTTACGAAGATTTTTTTCAAAAAAAAGGAAACGGGGTAGCGACAATTCTTTCTTTTTCTTACTTTGACCTTTTGCTATGCGGAATGCTTCTGCTGACGATAACCATTTGTTTACCTTATCAAGGAAATTTAACTTCTCCTTCCCATTTCAAAGATGTTGTGGCTGTTTGACTTCGAAGAACGTCTTAAAACAATAGGTTTAAATATGGTAAAATCGGGGGAAAGAGAGTGATTGGCTTTTCCAAGAGGTTTTAGCCCAAAAATCGCGAATCACTCGAAAACGGTTGAGAAATCTGGCAAAATGGAAGATAACCAATTGAAAGCTTAATTAAATTTCTTAATGATTGTTATAGGGCGCCGTTCTAAGGACGATTTTCTGGCTTCTCAGCTCAGTTTTATTAAAAAGTGCAAGAATTATCATGTTCCCGAATTTTTGAAATTACCGATGAATAACTGAAGTTAGGACATCATTTAAAACGCCGTGTGGTACAGCGTAAATTTTCCAAAAAAGAAACCTAATGCAGGTCTGTGACTTAAAGGCTGAGAAACTTTATACATTTCCAAATTTGGCCATTTTTCGTCCAAAAACCAGGTGGTCGGTTTTTTTGATAGGCATTGTAGTTTTTGTTGATCTCTATTATGCCGAATAATCTATTTAACTGTGTATATGTGTTATACCTTTACTGAGTTGTATTTCCCATATTTTACAGGAAGGTTGTTCTCTTCAAATTTTTCTAACAATAATAAATATGACTGAAATAGGTTTGCTTCTTCTTAGTGTGTTTTTTTGGAGTAGTATTTGTCTAATAATGTACAAAACCCAGAATTCATATATAAAATAAGCCAACAGACTCTTTTCACATTTCAGGCTTGAAACATGACAAAACCGAAAACCATAGTAATTCAAAGGTGATGGGGAGAAGCGAGGCCAGGTAAATCTAAAATGATAGAGAATAAACAAGCTACAGGTTTATCGCCATGGAAATCTCACAATCCTGAAATTTTAAAGAATAGTATGCCTTCTTTTAACCTAACATGGAGGATATTTGGTCGAGTCGGTTTAATACAATTTAGAAAGTATAGAAAAGAATGGAATTCTCGAGTATTTGTATAACTCTGTAGGTTTTCAGCCGGGAAGTGAGTGGAGAAACTAAAACTCTGCTCCCAACGGATTAAGGTTTCTGAATAAAAGTTGGGAGATGAACGATTCGAAATCACTTGCGTCGGTGGAGTGAAAACAAAAGCCCTCTGGGAGGGCCCTCATCGCTTGGATAAAAAGCCCGCTTGGGAGCTTTACATTAACCGAAAGACAGGGGCAGATCCCATTTCCTACTATTGTTAAACACTGAATTGAAATCACCGTTCGGAATGCGAAAACTGGACGTCCAGACGTTAGAGAGCCTCAATGAAAACGGAACAAAACGGGAGGTTGTTATATTTGGACGATAAATCGCTTTTGTCCTCCTTCCGGACAAAAGAGCCGGCAAAATAATTATAATGAGAGGTAATTTAAAAAAACAAAATGATAGCTGTAACGTACGTGCCGACGGATATGATTATCTTTTGTTAAAAAAAATTTAATAAAAAGAAGGTTTTTACCTTTATTATAATTGACAGTAGGAAATGACACCCAAAATTTTTTATTCAACTCTTATTTTCACATTTGCTTACAAATATTCAATAAAATATGTTACTTAATTGTTTAAATATGTTTTATGCTCAAAAATGTATACATTTAACAATGTTTTAGTAGTAATTAGGGACCTGTCAGATGACGGGGATGGGAAGAGAATTCGGTCATTGTTGAAACTCTCAGTGTTTAGAATTGCTGGTTGCTTGGTTTAGGGTTGTGTTAGGACGTCACGAAGTCACTGTCTTTTTAAGCAGTGTGGGAGATTTTGTAGGACGATAAACAATTCTTTTGATACTATTTGTTTTTATTTAAGTTTAGATTATAGTCCTGATATAGGCATTAAATTGACAGAAAGCTTGACTACAATTTTTTGAATTTTCTTTGATCGCCTCCTACCATATACCACAAATGTGACATAAAACCGATAAAACATACATCCAAAGAACTTCATTATCAGTTGAAAACTCGACTACTTTCTTTGGAAAAATATTTTAATTGTGCCGTATTAATTATGGTTATTCGGAGATCGTGGGATGCGGTCTGGTATGATGAGGTTTTAGAAAAATATTTTCTTTATCGTGCAACGTTTCGATCTTTATTGAGATCATCTTCAGGGTCTGGGATTTATAAAGTGTGTTTAAATTGTACAAATGCATGTAGGATGTGGAAAAAAATAATTTATACTATGCTAGATAATTTTAGATTAAAGAAAACTTGAATTTATACAATGCTAGAAAATTTGAGATTAAAAAAACGAATTTATGCAATGCCAGAAAATTTTAGATTAAAAAAAAGACTTTATACAATGCTAGAAAATAATAGATTCAATCAAAATATTTGTATTCACTCATACTTTGATTGAATCTAAAATTTTCTAGCATTGTATAAATTCTTTTTTTTAATCTAAAATTTTCTGGCATTGTATAAATTAATTTTTTATCTCAAATTTTCAAGCATTGTATAAAATCATGTTTTTTAATCTAAAATGATCTAGCATGGTACCATTTTTTTTAATCTAGAATTTTCTTGCATTGTATAAATTCTTTGTTTTAATCTAAAATTTTCTGGCATTGTATAAATTCATTTTTTTAATCTCACATTTTCTAACATCGTATAAATTTCTTTTTTTAAATCTAAAATTTTCTAGCATTGTATAAATTCAATTTTTTTAATCTAAACTTTTCTAGCATTGTATAAATTCATATATATTTTTTTAATCTAAAATTTTTTAGCATTCTATAAATTCATTTTTTTCACATCCTACATGTATTTGTAAAATCGAAACAATGTTTATTAATCCCAGGCCCTGAAGATGATCTCAATAAAGTTCGGAACGTTGGCACGATAAATAAAATGTTTTTCTAAAACCTACGTCACACCAGATCGCATCTCACGATCTCCGAATAATCATTAATTAACGGTCACTAAACACAAAACACACACGTATTAATAATAATTCTTGTAATTTTTTGATAGTATTCATTCTAATTTTGTGGAACTCCATAATATGTTGATGTGTAGGAAATAATTTTTCTGTTTATTTGATTGTTCAATGTTGCAATATTTACTGTTTTTTATATTTCGATAGTCATTGTCACTCTCTATTACATCCTAGGTTCGACAACTTATTTAGCAATCCATTAGATTTCGTGATCCGATTGATCAAATAACCTCTTTCTATTAATTAATCTTTATGTAAGGAATTGGTTGAGATAAAATAGTCAGTGTCACGAGCGGGATTCGAACCCACGATCTTCGGCTAAATACGCCGCTGCTCTAGCACTTGTGCTATCGTGACTTCTATCCACTGGGACACCAACTTCCTATCTCAACCCACCTTTTTTTAATTTTCCCTCCTCGATAGCTCAAGTGGTAGAGTAGCGACGCATTTAGCCGAAGGTCGTGGGTTCGAATCCCGCTCGTGACACTGACTTTTTTATCTCAACCGATACCTTACATAAAGATTAATTACTTAGCAATTCAATCAGCCCTTTTTCTTCTTTTTATTATTTTAATTATTTTTTGTTTAAACACGTTACTCATGAAAATGAAAAAAGGTGCTCGAGTATATTACTTAATTTAAAACGTAACGCTTTCATAAAATTTATATAAATGGTTATGCTAAAGTGCTTTAATAAATGGTTTCTGGGATTCCTAGACGCTAATTATCAAATTAGATTTCCGTAAATAGAAAAGTTGTTTTCTATTTAACAAAAGCTGTAACATATTGTTTATAAAGATATTTTTATATAATAAATTATGACGAGTAAGCATATACGAAAATAAATGACTGTTGAACGCTAATTAGGCTGTTTTAATTTTGAAAAAAATTACCTTGCAAGTACACTGGGTTCTGCAGTCGAGCATGAAGTTCTTGCCGTTTTCGTACGTCTGGTTGAACACCGTACACGGGAGGCCCTTGATCTCTGAAAACAAACAATAAACAGAATTAAGCAGCGAACGGCTTACAGGCCGATGAAGCCTTTGTTTTAATGGTGGAGTAATCAAAAGCTCAAACCGGGCCACCGCTGTGGGTGGTAGCTGTCAGAATATAAACCGAAATCAGAATAAGCATTTGAGTTTATTATACCGTTGTATCACACCCCGAGCTTCCCTCGTACCTCCGACACATTTCACCGAGGAAATTGTGGGGAAATTGGAGTGTACCATTTCTGAATCTTGGACCCGATGAAAATCTGTTGGAACGTTTTAATTAATATTTCAGTGACTACTGAAAATGTTGATATACTCTTGAAAGACGTACGAGAAGTCTGGCAACAGCACACTCAAGTTGATTAAATTAAATGATAAAATAGGATGAGAGAAAACTATTTTGCATAGCCACCAGCTTACCACCTAAAGGTAGTTTCCATTTTCAGACAAAGAATTCGTTTTAGTTCTTACTTTTTTGTTCACCCAACTTCCAATCGATGGATTTTATTTTTCATAAGCATTTCCTTTTATGAGAAGCTCTAATTTTTGTTTAATTCACAAACTCTACAGTTCTACTACATTTTATACAATTTTAAAGCTCATTTAGTTGTAGAAAAGCCGCCAAAATATCATCATTTTTCGGTACCATTTTCTCAAAATCCAATTAGATTATTAAAACCAATCTTTTTTGTTTTATTTATCTTAGCATATTTCACATTTTTGATAAGGCCCTTAAAAAAAATGAAGCTTTAAATTTTGGCAGCAACCTAAAATTTTGTCATTTTTTGTGCAAAAGAATTTGCACATAACTTTATGATAATTAGATAAATATGTATTTTTTTATCAAACCCTTTCTCACACTTAATCAACACTCTTTCCCTCATATACTGTCTCAATGTTATTTCTCACTTTTTTACTGAACCCCTAGCAATGCATAATTATTCATTTTTGCTTTGGGAGTAGCGCAAGGATATCTTTTCTCTCGTATTTTATTCATCAATCTTTTTCAACTTTCTCTCTCTTTCCTTTCTTCCCTTCCTTTCAATCTCTCTTTTTATCTATCTGTATTGCACTTTTTTCCATCACCAACTGTACTCACATAATTATAAATTTGGGAGTAGATAAAGAATGCTTTTTCAGACCTTTTTTATTTGTAAATTGTTTAAAACTCTCTCTTTCTTTAAAATAAGGTTCTAATATCTTATTTAATTCCTCATTTTTATTTCCCTACCTCTTTCTTTCTGTCACTCGGTATTTCTGTTCTCTCCCTCTCTCTCTCTTTTTTCTCTCTCTCTCTCTATCTATCTATCTATCTATCTCTCAATAACACTATCTCAACTCTCTATGATGATTGTTGAATATTAACAGTAAGTGTGGTTGCAATTTTATTACATTACTTATATTACATTTATCTCTATGTTTAATTTTACTTTTTTTATTTCACATTGAAACCAATCTAGTGTCATCATTTTGCTGGAACTGTTTAACTCTGTTATATTTAAATTAAAATTAAAGTTGTGTTTCCTTAAATTTAGAAAACTTGTTCGATTTAGGCAAGTGTTCTTTAACTCTCGTCTTAATTTCCTTACCGCTTTGTCCTATATAATGATAGCTCAGTCATTACAAGTAAGTTTGAAAACTTAGATTTCTGACAGTTTTGAGAGGATGTTTCTAAGTGTGACGTACCTCTAAAAGCTAATCTAAAACCTTCTGATTTATTACAATTAATTAAGGCTTTTAGTTGAGATGAAAAAAAGCTAATGGCACGAGCGGGATTCGAACCCACGATCTTCGGCTAGATACGCCGCTGCTCTACCACTTGAGCTAAAATGGCAAAAAGGAGGGAAAACTCATAAGGTGAGGTTGAGATAGGAAGTTGATGTCCGAGTGGATCGAGGTCCCGATAGATCAAGTGGTAGAGCAGCGGCGTATCTAGCCGAAGATCGTGGGTTCTATGGGTGGAACCATTCTTTACAAAAGGTGAAAAAAATTCTTCTCTGTCCTGACGAAGAAAGAATGGCAAATTAATCTAAGTTCATATAATTTTTTTTAAATGTTTGACACGCTGTAAAAATACATTGTAAATATACAATTTTTTGTTTTTACAAATGTAATAGCTTTTTGTCAATTTGATGTTTAATTAATTCACCAGGTAACAGATGTTATAAAGTTCCAAAATTAATCTAGGCTCAGCTTTTGCTGGTTTGAATTTATTTTAATATTTGACGCTTTAACAAAAATGCCTAAATATAAAAAAATCTAAATTTAAAGGTTTTTGTTTGTTTTTACAGACGTAATCGTTTTTAATTTGATGCATAACTAATTCACCAGTTGATGGAGCTCCTAAACCGGCCATGAACGTATTCACATAAATCTTCATCGGAGTAAAAAATTATAGTAAACAGAGCTGAAACTATTTTTGTTTAACTATATTTACGAGAATAAATCCAGTATGTATTCACTTTTCAACTGGCAATAGATAATGCCAAAAATATAGCACAAAAGTTTATAACGATGGTTTTTTGTACTACTTTTAATTGAGCGTTTTCTGTTTAAAGATTACGGCATATATACTTTTTTCATCTAAATTTTATTGATTTTTGAATAGACATATAAATTAGGTTAAAAATAAATAATTTATTGATAGATATTGCTTTGAGAAGTTTTTTTTAATACTTAAGTTACTACTCAAGTTAATAGTTGATATATATGTGTGGTGATTAGTGACCGTTAATCGATATTTATTTAGAAATCGTGAGATGCGGTCTGGTGTGATGTAGGTTTCAGAAAAACATTTTCTTCATCGTGCCAACGTTTCGATCTTTATTGAGATCATCTTCAGGGCTCAAAGTGTTTGTCTTCTGTGTAATTATGCCATTCTTGCGTGTCGTGTCGTGTGTGAGTAGGGCACTCTCGACACGACACGCAAGAATGGCTCATTTACACAGAAGACAAACACTTTGAGCCCTGAAGATGATCTCAATAAAGATCGAAACGTTGGCACGATAAAGAAAATGTTTTTCTGAAACCTACATCACACCAGACCGCATTTCACAATTTCTAAATAAAGTTTATATATATATACTGATTTGTTTCACTATCGCTGGCAATTATTCTCTGATTTCAATTTATATCTGTTCAAAAAGTAGCATACTCTTTTGATTAAATTTTGGAGTCGTAAAGTTGGAAAGCGTTCGTCTCCTACGGTACAAAGTTCGGCCGCTTTGAAATCCTTGACCCTTTGTCAAATTACTACTTAAAGCTAACTTGGCAGACGTAGAGATTAACATCGTAGTCGTGTCGGTTTGATTTCACAAATTCCTGCGGTTGTATCTAACGGGTTGAAATTAAACTTTTCCTAGCATTGAAGGTGGCAGTCGGCGGAAATTAAGGCGCAGGAGATACTAAACCCGCTTTACTGAACTGTAATGAGGGTTATGTATAACCTAATACTCAATCTCGAGCCAAAGTTGTGTAATTTTGTATTTTTTTCCTTTAAAAGATTTGACTGTTTTTGAACACTTGATAAACAAGTAAACAAAAGAAATTCTTACAAAAAAAATGTTATATTGGAAATGTTTGTTCCTATGATCTTGATTGAAGATTGTTTCATCGTTATAGGCTATAGGAGAGAGAACAAAAAAACCGCTTGAATACATAAAATAGTCTCATCTGGTATTCCGTTATTATCATCATGCTGGAGTAAACACGTTTTGTATAATGAAGCCAAGTCAGCATGTCCATCAATAAACCGTTGTGAATAGGGACGGCGGGGAAATCGCTGGGACGAAGGCTTCGGCGTCCTCATTAACGGTTAAGTGGCCACCAGAGCGGCCAAATATAATATAATCCGGCTAGGAAGGTTCATTTATGTTCTATTAGGGTTAAGCAAAGACACCTGCGGGATTTGATCCCTCATAGGCTTATTTTACATCACTCCCGGACCAAATAAATTTGACGGTCGAATGATTCTATAGATGCACACTCACTGGAAAATTACATCCCATCCAGAAATTTTGTCAAGATATATTTGTGTTTTCTTATTTTTTTTATAAAGTTGGATAATTGGTTCAAACAAGAAAACAAACAAATCGTTTTCAATACAGAGACATAAAGACTCTTCGTTGTATTAATTTCTGGATTATTATGTTTTCGAGTTAAGGTGGTCTTTTACATACCAGAAAAATATAGATTGCTTTCAAATTTGATCTAAAACTCGTTCAACGCAGCTCACAGTGTATTTAACATATTTCATAAAAATTAAAAACCTCCTGCACTTCACAGAAGCAGGATTCTACTATTTTATTTGTACTATTTATTTGGAAACTGAGGAACATCCTCACCATACGTACTATCTTATACTGAGATCTTATCTGACTGATCGATTTTTTCGAGTCCGTCAGGGAACTGAATTCTCACCTTATATACGCATAAGGGCGGGTATTCCTCAGGGAAGCATACTTGACCCTTTTCTATTTTCCATATACACTGCAGATATTCCTACACACGTTAACATTTCGACACACACATTCGCTGATGATACAGCGATTCTTACACGCAATTCGGACCCCACAATAAACACTCAACACTTACAACAACACCTGAATGAATTAAGAATATGGTTCACAAAGTGGAGAATAAAGGTAAACCTAACAAAAAGCACACAGATCAATTTTACTTCACGTAAAAATGTCTGTCCTGCGGTGAGTATAAATGGAATTCCATTGCCTACCACTTTTCATGGATAAACGACTGACTTGGAATCCCCATACAAGACTGAAAAGACAGCAAACAAACCGACGTTATAAATAGTTAAGAATCCCCATACAAGACTGAAAAGACAGCAAACAAACCGACGTTATAAATTGTTAAAAAGACTACTCGACTCACGATCAAAATTAGACCTTGAAAATAAACTTTTAGTTTACAAGACAATGATTAGACCTCTGGGCGTACGGTTGTGAAGTGTGGGCTCAACCAATCATTCCAATTC